TATCTAATTTCTCACACAAATTCTTTTTTCTTTTTTAGTTTCTCATTCACTAAATCAGTTACTTCTTCCAACAGTAGAAATTGAGTAGTTTTAAAAATAAATTCCAACTTCTTTCTTGAAACCATTTTCTAGACCCCTGGACTGGATCACATTTAAACAATGTGATCCAGTCCAGGGGTTGGCTATAGATATCCGGCAGGTACTTGATTTTAATTATATTTTCAGTTTAGGAGGGTTGTCAGGGTTAGCTCGAACCTTTAACACTGATTTTAAATGTTGGAAATGCGTTTCGAATTAATTACGATAACAACAAATTTCACTAAAAAATGGCTTATAACGAAACGGAAATATGTCAATTTGTTCTCGTATTATGTATGTATGTATGTAGTAGACGTCCGGTATTTGATTTTTTATTTTTGTTTTCAATTTAGGAGGTTTGTCAGGGTTAAACTCGAACCTTTTACACTGTTTTTGGATTTCGGAAATGCCTTTTGAATGAATTACGATAAAAATAAAATTCACTAAAAATTACATATAACGAAACGCAAATATGTCAATTTGTTTTTATTTACACTCATAAAAAAGTTAATCACTCGGACCTAGATAATCTATTTGTGGCCTAAGAAGGGACTCATATACAACAAATTGAGTCACAGTGGAGAGCAGTCAAGAGGTTTTTCAGAAAACGGAATTAATAACAATTCACATTACATTATTTCATTTACCACTATCATAGCAGAGTTTATGGCAACCTAACTTTATAGATACGATTGGTCACATCGGTTCTAAAACCGAATTAGCACGCCCCGACTTCACGTAGTCTTGTCTGCCCTACCCCTAGAGTGTTTTTGTAAAGCCCGCTCGCTGTAGCAAATTATAGGTCCCTGAGTAAGCCGTAGCGGCTGAGGCTGGTCGCCGTAAGCCGAAGCTGCGGAGGCGAGTATTGCATTGCTACGCAAGGGCGAAGGGGCTGCATTTCCCGAGGTGCCGAAGCCATTGCAGAAGTAACTTTATGTCTGTGTAAAAAAGTAAGGTTATAATTTTACAAAAAATATTACTCATAAACTATACATTTCCGCAAAAGGGGGAAGGGTAGGGGGGCTTCTCCTGAACCCTCAGCCTACCCCCTCCTACTCCCACCACCGTACGCAATTTTTTAATTATGTGCGAGCAGCTATGCAAGTCTAGGGAAAGATACCAGTATCACTGCTACCTAAAAGATCTATTGTGATCGCTGCTATGGCTATAGTTCACTGCTAAGCCCTATGTCTTCAATGAATAGAAGGAGTTGCTTAGCCGTGAGCAATTTCACTTCTTCTGGGCGGAGTAGATAGTTTCTCAGATGAGTGTTACGTTTGCGCATTAAGGGTCCGCAATCAGTTAGGATGCACAGAGGCGTTTCTTCGTTATGGAACAGAATCGACACATCCTTGAGTTGCTTAGACCCAGGATGGACATGTGCTTTTTAAGCCAACAGTGTCCAGTTAGGGCTTTTGCCAGAATGCGCAATTTATTTTTACTTAATCGCAGGGCTTCGGAAGCGAATTTACGATCAAAAGCCCGGATCAAGTTTTTAGAATGTTTTAAGCCTGGTGTGTCAGACCAGATCTTAAGTGATTGATTATGATAAAGAGTTTCAAGGGTCAATCGGGCTAGGCTTCTTGAGATTCCACAAAATGGCTCAGGTCCAAATTGTGTGCACTGTGAGCCCTCCCGTGCAAGTTTGTCGGCAAATTCGTTGCCTACAATACGCGCGTGACCCGGAACCCATCGCAAGACCCTGTTGTTACATCCCAGGGCGTTTAAACGGTTCACGTAGTCTCCAACTAGCTTCGAGTTCACTAAACACTTTTAAGTTAGACCTCAGCGCTACCAGTGCTGCTTGACTATCATAGTTTATATAAATTATATGGTTGACGTAGTGTCTTTGCAAATTCATTTCCGCACACTGATGTATGGCGCAAATTTCTGCCTGGAAGATAGAGGTAAATCTACCCAAATTCCTACTAAGTTTGAATTTGGGGCGTTCCCCGTAAATTCCAAAGCCTACGTCGAGGCCCATTTTAGACCCATCGGTATACCATATGAGGCTACCGATCTCACAAATAACCTGGCCATTCAGTCAGTTTTCTCTGGATGGTAATGCCACTATATACTTTTTATCAAAAGTGCGTAGTGGACGCATGATATCTGAGATCGTGCATAAAACCGGTGTTTCCCTAATTGAGTCGAGCATGGATCTCAATCTGTAGGAGAGCAAGCTCAGACCTGTTGATCCTATACAAACTAGCCCTCGCGTCCTTGTCTAGATATAAATCAAGGGGCGTTAGGCATAGAAGTGCATTAAGAGCCGCTCCAGGCGATGATCGCATAGCTCCAGTTGCCATTAAACAGGCAGTTTTTTGTAGACTATTAGTGATGTCTTTTGTTGGTTAGGTAGGGTCCTCTGTGTGTAAGATAGGACCGGCAAGCCCCAGTTATTCCCGACCAAACGACTGCCCTTACCGAAAGCAATTTTTGCCTTATGGCATACGTTGCTAAGGTGAGAGTTCCACGTTAGTTTTTGGTCGATTATTACGCCCAAGTACTTAACTTCAGTGGAAAATGGTATTACCACCGTACGCTAGTACCAATGTCTATACTTTAACCCAGTAGAGCACTGAACTGGATTGATTTGCTGGATTATTGGACTGGAATAATGTGAACTAGGCATAATATGCATTATTATTAACTATTGTTGCCCTTGAGGAAGATGACGCCTGCTATAATACAGTGCAAACTAGTATGGAGGGTAGAACATTAACTTTTCTGTAGCACTATTAATCCTCAAAATGTATTTTTGTGTACCTCATTTAAATTTGAAATTGTATTAGCTCTTTAATTAAATATATAACATTATAATGAGGTGGTAAGATCAATGTTTTTGCTTTATTTGCAACTTCTTGATAAATAGATTAAAAAACAATCTGCCAGTGTGTTTAGGCTGCTTTTCTAAAGATGGTTCAAAAGTATAAGCTTCCTCATCAATATAGTTATCTCTATTTTAGTATAATCAGGATATTATGTATCTTATAACAGATTGTCATATATGTTTGGATATATGTTTGATATATATATATATATATATATTTTTTTTTTTTTTTTTTTTTTATGTTCTCTGCAACCTCTTGTTGTGTTTTCTCTGCCCCAAGGTTGACTAGGAGACAATAAATAAATGTGAAGTAAAAATCATTTATTAAAGTATTTATTATTAGATAAATCCCAGTGGCGTCCAGAAAAGCCATGTAAGCATTATCATCAAAACATAATATTGTGCTTTATTTACAGGTGATATGTGTATCATTCACAAGACGCTTTTATTGAATACAATGTTAACTGGTTGTAGAGATGATGATCCCTTAATCAGAGCATCTGCATTATCCAACTTGGCTGAAATAGCTTTAGTTCTGCATTACAGGATTGGTTCCATTATTTATGAGGTAAATTGACTATTTATATATATATATTTCATGTATTTTATTATGATTTAGGTGTGAAAGAGAAAAAAAAACCAACCAGAGGTGGCTTTGACACATATTGCAACCTTCGAACGAGGTTGTGGTCAGGACATGTAGACTTATTTACTGTATTTTTGCATTCAGGCAAAACACACCAACCGTAAATATGATAACTCATTATTAAACAACCAAAAATATCTTATTGTTACAGCCTATTAAAGTCAACTGCTGAACCTAGGCCTTCCCCATAGATTGTCTCATATGGCTAGCGGGTTGGCAACCGCAGTTTTTTTATTCGTCATTAGAAAACGCTGCCGCTCATCTGACTTGTTTCCCTCCGTTGCTTCTTCAATACCCACGAGATGGTATGGAGTAGTGGATATTCTTACACCACCACTACACGGTAAATTCTTTTGCAAATTAATTTTATTTACTAAAAAGTAATTGTAGAGCACTGTCGAGTGAGCTAAACAAAATGGCGGCTTGCGTTTTCGCGCGAAAATTTAAAACGATGGATTAAAATTGATTAAAAGTAATATTTATGGCAAATATTTGAAAATATTGTTATTTACACTATTTGATAATAGGTGTTATATACGTGCACTATCCCCGTCACCCACTAATAAACTCAACACGACTAAACCCACCGAAAATACACCACCGACACAGCGTCGTCGCCGTTAGTTGTGACGAAGATAGTACACACATGAGGATGAGGGAGCGAGGGGTGCTCTTTAAACTAGCTAAGACACATCATTCTGTTTTATTACGCGTGTCTTAGGTTTGATTTTTAATGTTTAACATCTTTAATATAATAGATTTCCGCAAAGTAACGCCTGATTCAATTGATTAATATATTTCTATTTTTAGGTGCTGCTATGTATTGGAAGCATAATAGAAACAGATAAAGCAGTTGAATGCAGGAGGGCTGCTGTGATGGTCATATCGAGTTTGCTGAAGGGCTTAGGCAAAGAGACATTAGTCCAATTAGAAGACAATTTGCTGCCTTTATACAGAACTTTAAACAAACTGTACAAGGATATAAATGAAGATGATATCGTCAGACTCCATGCCCAAATTGCTCTTGAAGAACTTAATGATATAGTTCATCACTTTTTGTTTTCCAAGATAGATATGAATAAACCTGTATCAATGTTGAATCAATCCAAGGAAATAATTTATAAATAAAGTTATTTTAATAGAATTTTTTTAATCTTTATTTGTACCACTCATTTTCACACTCGTTTTCTTATCCTAAGGTATATTAAATTATTATATTACTACAAATAAAACGATATAATATGCTATCTTTGTATGGCAATCATGTACGTCTTGAATGTGAACGCAAAATCGGCCACATAGCTTAGTAATGAGTAATGACCCAACAATAGCACTGTACATTTCCTTTTTCATTATCACAACACACGAATTTTTACCATGTGCCAAACAGTATTTACTATACCACACAATTGTGCAACTTAAAATACACCTTTCCTAAATTTCTCACGCTTCAGACGTGTTATCACCTTCGCTATATTTCGTTTTTGGTCCTTCGTCTTTTTCTGACAACGTAATCGAGTACACTGAACTTTTATCGGAAAATCGGTCCCTATTACGACCTCCAAATATACTGCTGCGCATGGAGGAGATTGTTGCAATTGATACATTGTCCTTTTCTGTCTGTGGCACCATTTTCCATATCAGTAACGCAATTCCACCAAAAGCGGCCACAACCAGGAACATAACCAATGAAACTTCGCCGAATACACCTGCAATGAACATAATTTTATTTTTATCACCGTAATTACCTTTACCGTCTAAAGGCGATGTTAGAATATTAAAGGCGGCTACTCACTTGCCTGCCGCAGAAGCAATCTAGGGGTGTAGGAGGGGGAATGACCCTTAATTACCTCCTTGTGATGTGTGTATGCTAACAAGGGCAATATTCTAAATCGGCCCTGCGGCAGGGGCGCAAGACCTTCCTTGCTCCCTAGATCTACCTAGTGTAGTGCAATTGGGGCAATTTCAATCGGTTTTAATTAATTAGGTTTATCAATAAAGGTGTCTATGGGCCACAGTATCCACTTACCATCAGATTGACTGTGCTCGTTTGTCACCTTTATTCTATATAAAAAAGAGCCAAGGCTATATATACCGATTCATTGACATTTCGATAAAACTGGCGCCATTCTCAACGCGTGTATCCAGCGGGACACACTCGTACTGAATGGCAGACATGTATGTAGAGACAGTCCTGATATTGCCCTGATCACTGCACATCCAAGATTGCCTGTGCAGCAGGCAAGTGACTAGCTGCCTTGACACTACCCATATCATCCCGTGGATGACGTAAGAGGCAACAGAGAGAAACAAAACGGGAGATGGGCAGCAGCGTCTTCCTGTTAATGAATAAAAATAAAAAACTGCGTTTGTCAACCCACTTGCCCAGCGTGGCAACTATGGCAAATATCCCCCTATGAGGCTATCTATTAGGGAGGCTAATGTTAAGCAGTAGACTTTAATAGGCTAATGGTACTGTTCTTATTGCCTAGTAAAAGAAAGTGAAGTTGTAGCCAATACATATATATTCCACAACCGGCCACAGGCCTGTCTCATTTCTGAGAGAGTTATTGAAGAAAGGTTTAATCTCTCACGCTGCTTCAGTGCATGTAGGCGAACTTCACATGTCCGCAAAATATTTTATTCCTCAGACTTACAGGTCTACTTATGATGCTCTCCTGCATAACCGAGCATGTGGTAAATTACAACATAAAATTGCTAATTCATTGGTACCGGCGGGATTCGAAATGCGTACTGTGAAATTTAAGGCAAGACCTTATTCAACGGTTCATGAAATGGTCGGCTGACTAGCGGCAATAAATCAGGTAAATATATATATATATAATTTTCATCGACTATCTTGGAAAGGGAAAAACCATCAACAGCGACTATTATATAGCGTTATTGGAGCGTTTAAAGGACGAAATCGCGAAAAAACGGCCCCATTTGAAGAAAAAGAAAGTGTTGTTTCATCAAGACAATGCGCCGTGTCACACATCGATGAAAACGATGGCAAAATTGCATGAATTGGGCTTCGAATTGTTTCCGCATCCACCGTATTCTCCAGATTTGGCCCCCAGCGACTTTTTCCTGTTCTCAGATCTCAAGAGAATACTCGCTGGAAAGAAATTTAAAGCCGATGAGGAAGTAATCGCCGAAACAGAGGCCTATTTTGAGGCTAAACACAAATCGTACTACAAAAATGGTATTGAAAAGTTGGAAGATCGCTATAATCGGTGTATCGCCCTCGATGGCAACTATGTTGAATAATAAAATCGAATTTTGCCAAAAAAATGTGTTTTTCTATAAAACGATACGAACTTTTCAGCCCAACTGTTATTGTAACGTTTTTCACACCTAACTTACATATTTAGGCACTTTTTTGTCTATCACATGACAAAATTGCAGAAATTATGATAAATATATTATGAGGATCCATTATGAAATGGTGGGACTTTATTTCTGCCTAAGAATCCGTCGAGGTAAACATACCACTACCTTAACTATTTCTGACGTCAAAAAGCAGTGCCTTCACCGCTGTGGAGGGGGTGTGAAGGCTATACTTAAAGGGGCAGTGTAATTACAGTCTGTGAAGCAATTCATCTTACTTGAAGGTGACAACGCATCTGTAGCTTCAATTGTTTGAAGTTGGCTGCAGGTATCTATGGACTGTAGCAGCCACTTACCAATTGGGACTGTGAATTCATTTGTCACTTCAGTTTAATAAAAAAGACGAAATAGAAAGAAGGACTAAATTAGTTCCATTGTAATACGGATTGCGAGTACCTGTGTAGTAGTATGCGAGTTTGAGTTCGTATATAGTACTATTATTTATTCTGTGGTTTGAATCTCACTGCACACATGTGATATATGTAATAGGTTTTTACCTATGCAATTGTCGTAAAAAATATTTTAATTTGAAATGGCCAGTACTGCAGGTACTGACTGGCCATTTCAAATCAAAATAATTTTTGTTTGGCTAAGAATTCTAATTGCAAAATAATTTTATTTTAAAAACATGTAATTCTTTTTTCAAAATTAGTCATTTGTTTATTGATTAGCGTTATGTTTTCATCATTTGAATCGTTTTAGTAATCATGGATACGTTAAAAATTCAAGTAAGTCATTCTGAATATGCGGGGATACACGGAAGTATGCGGTTCGAATACTACAAACGAACCCACCATCTGTTGTTGATTTGGTCGCTTTCGTTTTGGAAATTTCGATCTGAAAAATGATACCCGTTGTCTTCCGAAAACTGGTCGACAATGACGAATTAAAGGCCATTGTGGAAGTGCATGCACTGCTCACCAGGCACATAAACGAAAGAATTTTGAACCATATTGTTACCTACGAGGAAAAATGGATTCTGTTTGACAATCGCAAGTGCTCATTAAGTTGCTTGGAACCTGGTTCAGTACCTAAACAATGCCCTAAACGAAAAGTTATCCCTAGAAAAGTGATATCACTGTTTGGTGGACTAGCGCCGGTGTGATTCATCATAGCTTCTTACCAAACGGGATGAGCATTACTGCAAATGTGTACTCTTAAGAACCCAAACACAATGATAGAAAAGCTCGCACGTCTCCAACTAGTCTTGATCATTCGCTCGTCCCCGCTGCTCCTGCACGATTCCCCGCGACCTCATGCTGCACAACAGACGGTCTCCAATTTACAAGAGGTTGGGTTGAAAGCTCTCCGCCATCCGCCGCACTCACAAGATCTTGCACCCACAGGCTTTTACTTTTTTCAGATTTGGATAACTTTTTGTCGGGAAAATAATATACCTGAGAGGCAGTACAAAATGCCTTTGGAGAATTTGTCCTGCTGATTTCTTCAAGAAAGACTACAAAAAACTGCTACTGCGTTGACAAAGATGCATCGATTGCATAGGTTTGATCAACAGAAATAAAAAATATAACGTTAACTTATTTCATAAAAACCGGCCAAGAGCGTGTCGGGCCACGCTCAGTGTAGGGTTCCGTAGTTTCCCGTACGTCACAATAAGTGTTCCCACTTATGAGTTTAAAGGTGGGTATCCATTATGTTCGCGCTCCAGCAGCGCTCCGCGCTCCTGCAACAGCTCCCAGTAGTGGGTACTGTTGTTTCCATCCAAGTTCAAAATGATTTTCCTAGCAAGTCCTTATAAAGTTCTACTTTTCAGATTTTTTTCATATTTTCTAAACTTATGGTTCAAAAGTTAGAGGGGGGGGACACATTGTTTTTTACTTTTGGAGCGATTATTTCCGAAATTATTGACATTATCAAAAAATGATTTAAGTAAACCCCTATTCATTTTTAAATACCTTTCCAACAATATATCACACGTTAGCGTTGAAATTAAAAAAAATCACTCCCCACTTTACATATAGGGGGGCTACTCTAATAAAACATTTTTTTTCTAATTTTTATTTTACCACTTTGTAGGCGTGATTGATACACATATTGGTACCAAATTTCAGCTTTCTAGTGCTAACGGTCACAGAGATTAAGCGAGGACGGACAGACGGACAGACAGACATGGCGAAACTATAAGGGTTCCTAGTTGACTACGGAACCCTAAAAATGGCAATTTCATAGGTAAAGAACTAATATATTAATTTGCAGGTCAGTTTGCTCTGGCTGGAGTTCTAACTTGCCGAGAAGTAGTATCCAGGTACCTTTCTGACTGCAATGCATGCGGCCGTAGAATATCTTACTCTACGAACGCATCTACTATTATCTTTTGAATCAACCTACTTTGTTGTGCAACTAGATAGATTTTTTTTCTTCTTGTTTGCTTGATAAACTGAATGCTATTTAGTTCGTAATTATGTCAAATAGAGCGACATAATCGCATTTTGATTAAGCTCTTCGAATAAAGATTTAAAAAAATTACTTTGTTGTGTTTCTTCTTTACGTGCTTCAAGTCTGGCTGGTTGTAAATCGTTATAATCCATGCCTTGATTATCGTATGGTTCCACAGAGCCAAAGGGTATCGTTTCATGAAGTACATCTCCAGGGTTCGCTTTGGGTAGATTGATACCAGCTCTCACCGTAAGTGTTTCCGGTTTGTAGCTACACAAAATCAAAAATCTGAAATATGAAGTAATAATAGATTGTTACTTTACAGGTATTATAGTATACACTAAATGTTACAACTTGTACGTACACATCATTGATTTATATATTACACTAGATCAGTAATAACCGCGCCAAAGCGTTGCCACTGCACATATGGCCACAGTCATATGCCTAGCTAACGTCAGTTCAGTGTTCAATGTGACGCCGACAGAGTTGAGCCGCGATAAAAAATGGGCAAATGCGTAGTGAAAGAATGCTATTCAAGGTCACAAAAACTTAATAAATCAAGCGGAATCACTTCGACACATAATTTTTAGTTCTTGCTTTCATATAAACGTAAAATACCTCAAATAATTAAATAAAATTATAATGTTGCCATTTAGGTACAATGTTGCCACTTTTCCGCATTTGTGATTATCCTACATTAATGGGAGACTATATAATTAATGGAGTAAGTTAATTTGTTACCTCTGATTTTAAATATTTTTCAAATCATAATAAAAACTACGTTTTAACTTTCATACAAAATAATTAATTATTCTTATTTTAGTTTATTCATGGATTATCTATTAAATATATTTTATTACCTATTTTATATTAATAATTTTATATTAGTTATAATTTCATATAAATTTTATATTAATTATATTTTATTACCTATTTTATATTGTTTGATTTATTAGTACAATAAAAATACGTTTTATTTCGTCATTATGTTTACTTCTATTCATCTGATGAGCTTTGTATCTTTTTTTTTCTAAGGGGACGCAATAAAGATTTTAAAACAAAATATACTTTTTTAATATAAAAACAGTTAACTGCAGCTGAAAAAAAACTCATTTTTATTGAGTATTTTAGGTAAAATTTCATATAGTAAGCCACACCAATCCGCCATTGCATGTTTGTGTGTCTATCTTTATCTAATCTTAGCGACGATATTGTTTTCGCAACTTGTGTAAGTGAGATAGATATATGTTTATTTAGAAATGTTATTAGTTTCAAAGCTACGTCGTCGCGTTTGGATAATTGTTACACTTTTTTCGACGCGCGGTAATGTGGTTTGCTCCTCTAGTGCTGTATAACTCAATGGTACACATTGTCTCACTGCTGGTCCACAATGTGTGCATTAGGCTTCCTAATATCTTTTTAAGCATAAGTGATTTAATTTCGAGAGAATAGATCAATATAAGACAATCCACCTGATGATAAATATATGCTGAGGTTCATAGACATCTACCCTTTATTAAGAATTCAAATGCAAATGCATAGTCACCCCTGAGGACTAAGGTGGAATACCTCGTTAGAAATAAAATGGATCTCCGGTTCTTGACACTCATCATACGAAACGACACTTGTTTTTACCTGGTCGAGTTGAATTATGTTGCAGAACCGAATTTTTGTTTTAAGAAGAAGAGTAACTAACAGGCATACAATGCACCAGATGGTAAGTGGTACGAGGGCAGGTCAAAAAGTTCGCGGTATGGAGAGGTTAAAGAGGGGAGGGGGAATTTTTTTAAACTGTCACTACTTGATGACTCAATACAACTATAAATACCAAGATAGAATAGAATCATTTTTATTCAATATTGATGACATGTAATTCTTACTAAAAGTAGTTTTTTACTTTACCACTGTTTTGAAAAATCCTCTGTCCTGGGAAGAACCAACAAGAAACCCAGCGGGACATTTTTAAAGGCATAACTTACAATATATTTATGATCACACCGCTTCAGAATCAGCAGTTGGTCGAGTGTTCGCGCGAGTTTTTGTATCTGTGTAGTGAGAACAGGGACGAAATTATGAATCGAATCGTAACTGGGGATGAAACTAGGGGTCAACACTGTAGCCCAGATTAGGCCTCTTCTGATTATTATTTATTCCCAAATATGAAAAAAGACCTTCGGGGAGAAGAAATTTACAGAAGACAGAGAAGTGACGTCAGCAATTTCTGTCTATTTTGAGGGTCTTGAAAAAACATTTTTTTTTGAAGGTATAAATAAGTTCTTCGAACGGTCTGAGAATTTCATTAGGGTGAATGGAGAATTTATCAAAAAAGGAAAAATAATTACATGTTTCATTTCACCCCCTTTCCCTTTCCTTACGTGAATTTTTTGACCTTCCCTCGTAGCTATGACCCAGGATTTATTATCTTAATCTATAGTAGGTAAGTGTGCTATTGGTATATTGTATAATTTTTGCTACCTTTTCCAATTTTTTATACCATAATTGGGTTTGGTATTGTGCCTGTTCATATACCAGTGAAAAATAAGCAAACCGAACGGTTCTAGAAACTATTTTCCTTCTATAGAATAAAACAATTTCCCGGATTTGATCGTGTTTAAATTTGACTTTTTTAAACGCTATGAAATCCGTAAAATTTGATGTATTTGCGTGTATAATATAAGCAAGTATAAGTATAATATAAGTGATCATTATATTATTTTTCTTCTATTTATAAATAAATGTATATCAATAACCTAGTAACATAGTACAGCGAAAATATAAAATAAGTTAAAGTTGCAACCTATATACGTCCCACTCCTGGGCACAGTCCTACGCTCATTTCTGAGGGGATTTTAGGGCAAGGATTTTCATTATATACCTGTCACAGGTTCATAATCAAAGTGTAAGGAATTGTCATCCGCGCTGCCCCAATGCGTGTTGGCGGATTTCACGTCTTTGAAATATTTACTTTTATTTCTCAGACATGCAGGTTTCCTCACGATGTTTTCCTTCACCGCCGAGCACTTAAAATTGCAATTAACAATTTCATTGGTGCCGGCGTGGATCGAACCCGGTTTGCTCGGGTACTATGAATATTTACAGCATGCGTTGACCATCTGAGCTACCATGGTGAAAATATAAAAAAGTATATATTTAATCAATTACCGACGTGTGCTGTGAGTTAATATAGGAAGATTTTCCTGCACAATGACGTATGTTGCAACTGTAGTTTCGTTTACTTCTGAACCGCACTCCTCGTGATGAATACGTAAAATGTATGCGTCTTGAGCGCTGTTTGGATTGCCCTGTATGGAACAACGCTCTGGGCCGCCGTCTGCAGCCTCCACGGCAATTCGGCCGCCGAAGTACGGACCAGTGGAAACTTCTACCTCGCTTGCGTGAGGCAAACATTGTGTTGCTCGAGCTGAAACTGTTACAATTTCATTTTAGTTTTTAGCGTGTACATGCTGCCTATAAGTCTACTTACACAAAAGATACTTTGATGTTAATTTATGTTAGGTTTAGAGGTATAACAGTGATGTAACATATTCATGCTATAGATTAAAACTACTTTTACGGATTTTATCGCGTTTTATTTAATTTGATTTTTAATACCCGACGTTGCGAGTGCTTTCCAGCACATATGGTCTCGGAGGACTGAGGTGACTGACGTCCCGATGTCAAAGTTAACCCGGAGTACCTTCAGCTTTTTAATTATTATTGTCTTTGGTCCGATCTACGCAGAATTAACTTACTGTGTTTTTAAGTCTTACAGTGGTTTGGCGGCTTGGGTTTAGTTTTAATTTTGTTATTATTGGGTCCCAAGCAGGTGGTAGTACCCAGCCTCCTTCTTTCGTGACGATTTAATTCGATTATGTCCATTTAAATTTAAATTAATAAATAAAAGAAGAAATTAAGTTTTGTTAACAACAAGGGTGATGCTTATCGTATTCAAGTAAAAAAGGCAAAAATGGCACTGTCTTATAATCTTTATTTACTACTTAAACACATATTCTCAGGAAGTTATTTACTATGAACCACAATATTTTCATAATAAATAACGTCCTGAGAATATGTGTTTACATATTTTCATATACATACATAGAATATTTATATATATACACACACACACACATATATATATACATATATATATATATATATATATATATATATATATATATATATATATATATATAGTATAGTTATATATCTAAGTTTGTTTGGCGACTGCAGTTTTTGAAAATACTAGCAATTAAGTAATAATTAATTTTATTTGAAGTTATCCCACTAATAGTAGTAAGTTATAATTAATTTTATTTGAAATTATCCCAAATTGAATGTGATTTATGGGCAATAACGTTTTTGTCTACCGATTGACCTTTACGAATGTGTGCGTGTGCAGTACAATCAGTTGAAATAATGCATTACCACGCATTTTGAATTTTAAAAATATAAAGGATAGAATGTTGGAGATATTTATTTTTAATTTTTCTTCACCATATGGCTATATTACAGGTTGGGTCTGAATGGGGGGGCCAGCGTGGGAGTATTAGGGTAACTTTCTTTTTGTTTATTATTCTGAACTTTCTCTGCAAATTTGGCCGCTCATTGCAAAATAATGCTGTATAAGGTATAGTACCAACTTGGCCGACCGAGCGTCGCGCTCGGCATTCGAAAAAGAAATAATTTTTTCAGGAATTATATATATCTAGTAAAAACTTTTAAGTAAATAATTATCTAAGTAACAAAATTCTATCCAAATCATTACAGCCGTTTTCAAAAACATGACTACAAGCAAAGAAACAAATATATGAACATTGCTCCTAAAATAGTAGGATACATTCAAGAAGTGCTCGTTTTAATTTTCGTTCGTCGAATTAAATTTAAAGTATTAAGATGTGTAGTTCTACTATTTTATTCATTCAATCCATTTCATCCTTTAATTTATGGATAGATTAAGCAAGTTTTTATTTTAATAACTACCTATTTCACAAAGCATTATTCTTAAACTTACATCCCTTGGTAGGCACGATGATAATTTTCGAGCCGATAGAGTGCGGGTCTGCCAAATCGCGCGCATCGCGCTTTACTGGCCGCACTTCGAAGGAATACGTAGTGGCCATCCGCAGGCCGGTAATATAGGTGCTATATGCCCGCCCGCGTCGGCCAGTACCAGGAGTCACGGTGGTCGTGTCTACAGGCCTGGTCCTCAGTGGTTTTTCCTCTTCAAAGTTATCTATTACCTGCAATAACAATATCTATATCACCATTGCACCGTAAATAGTTTACTGTTGGGCATTTTTTTATAGGATAGGATGACAAACGAGCACACAGCCCACCTGATGGTAATTGGTTTATGTGGGCCATATACATCTACATCTATCCTCGATTACGAATCAAAATGCAGATGCGTCGTCATCCGTGAGGACTTGGCGAATGCCTTGTTTCCAGTAAAAAGGGTCTCCGGTTCTCTATATTCACTATACGAAAAACAGCAGAATGAAACTACTATTTGACGCTGGTATTCTGTGAGAGCGTGGTCCTTCCCCGGTCGAGACGACACATTCGTGTTACAACCACGTAATAAAATAGATGATAGGGCTTGACAAGTTACCAACCTCCTTTGTAATCATTCAGCTGAGTTATTACTCAGGGATTTAAAGGGTGAGGAGATTAAGAGAGACATTACATACAGACATTTTCTGTTAGTCCTCAGTGAATCAGTGATAGCAATACCGGGAGGTAAATGTAATGCGTGTAGTCTTGTTAGTTTGAAATTGGTTGCAATTTTGAATGGGCTGCAGTACTGTGCATTTCATCAGGGTCATGATCGTTTGTCACTCAATGTACCTTATGCGTTCGTCACAGATCATTATTGAGCCATCTGTCAGATCCTAATAAGTTTTCTTGGCATTTCTAATAAATTACTTTAACGATAACCTTGGGACAAAAATGAATTTGATTCATGAATGGTAGGGATTTCTCTTACATCATAATTTAAAAACATATTTTAATTTTAAAATCCTACTTTCGAATATAACAACCTGTGAACCAATTTGAATTTGAATTAATATTAATTTATCATTACGCTATTTATTATTCGAGCTGAGGAATAGGCGTAATAGTCCGGATACATATAATGTTTAACTACCTGTCTGGTCAAATTTTAATGTAACTATACACGATATTACTTGGATTCCAGACGAATGAGGATGTCGAACTTCCTGGAGCAGATTTCTTACCTCAGAAGAGGTTCAAGTACAAAGTCGATACGAAATAAAAGTCAGTTAAAATCGTTATTGTATGTAATGAGATATAAAATACTAGCTTTTTACCCGCGGCTTCGCTCGCGTGGGCTTCCGTTAAGGAACATCATTAATACTGCTCCATACCATAATCAGTAAAGTTGGATCCCTTGTAGAGTCGCCTAGTTGTCACGTTTGTTAGTCAGGTGATATCTTTTGAATTCTTAGAGATTATTAGACGTAGATTTTTTTAGAATTGCATTAATATCATACGTCTAGCAACCCCTGTTACTTTTTATATCGGTCATGACTTCCGAGGTATCTATACGTCTTCTATTAATGTACGGCAGATTGTTTATTTGCGATATTTGTTTTATATCATTGGCCTATTGAATATTGATTGGCACTATAATATAGTTGCTTATATTTTTACTAATTCATCAAATAGAGATAAAAACTTACATCGGATAACTTAACACTGTTACGAGCTTAGGGTTCGTGACAATAAAAACTGCCGATTAAATTACCAAAATTAACACTTTAATTCACTTTACACCAATTAAAACTTAAAAGACACTAATAATTAATCACACTGATTCACTTTATTTCGCTCCGAAGCTTCGCTTGCATCGCCAAATTCAATACTGCCACGATCGCGTCTTGCAGCGCCTTTAAACACCTTTAACACTTTTAACACCTTACCAAAGGAAGTTAATGAAATTATTGCTATGCCGATATACACCCAATAAGTATAGTTACTAAAAAGTTTTTCTTTTAATCACAGTTTTATATACACATTATCCAGTTTAACAGTTTAGTTAGGTAGTTATTTTGCTAAACTTGGCAATTGCGGTAAATCATCCCGATATTGGCTGGATATTTTAAGTTTTTGATCCTAAAAGAATAAGTATTCAATAGTATTATATTTAATCTTATCAGTTAGTTGTTATTAGTTTATTTTTCAGTAAATGATGGCGCTAATTTCAGATTAAAACTATGATAGCCAAAACTCTCAAGTTGTGTAAATGTGGCCAGATCGTAGAATTGATCATATTATCATGAAGTGCTGGACCACTTCAAATATCGCAATCATATCATAATAGCCTATTATTACTGACCATCTCTTCATAATATAAAACAAAGTCTCGCTTGGACTCACCGATTTTGATGAATTTTTTGTGTGTATTTAAGTGGGTCCCGGTATGGTTTAGGTTTACAAATTGGTTTAGATTTTATATCCAGTAGGTGGTGCTGTTACCGATATCCAGGAATCACCCGTGCTAAGCTCTGGTGAATCTTTAGTATCGTATAAATGTCAACGTTTGTCAAATTTATGCTTAATCAACAATTGAATCTACGAAGTCAGTTAATATCAGCAAAAAAGTAATATCAGCGACAGTAGATTGATATGCGGCTGTGTGATCCTTGGGCTACCTCAAAGCCCATATTATTAAGCATAAGTATATTATTTAAATGTTCGCGATAAGGCATAGAGTTATGTGGATTCTGTTAAAAGGTGCGCTATCGCCGCCGCTAGCGGTGAATAGTGAAATTATTTTACGATATCTATTAGAATACTATGAAAAAGCAATGTTGGGTTTAGTAGTCAACATATGGTCAACAGACAGTGTTAAATTTCACGAAATGCCACAATTTCATGTAATGATCGAATATTCATTATAAAATCATTTCTACGATCTGGCCACGACGTATACAAAAATATCCTTAAAAAAGTATAAGTGTAATGAGTTTTGCAATAATAGCAGGCAAACCAATGTTAATCAGTTCGTTATTATATACTAGTAATTAAACTAAAAATCATCTGAATTTTCATAGATTTTACTATTATCTATTTAAATTATTACTATTAAAATGAAAGAATGAAAAACTTAAAATAAATCTTAGAAGTTTCAAATCATTTCATAAAGTATAAATGTAAGTTATTTATGTTATTTAATTAATTACTTAGTAACTAATAACTGAAGGCTAAATATGCTCCTTTTTACTTTTTATGACAAATGGCGCTGTTTCGGAAACGTACAATGTAGATCGTTGGCGTAGTTTCAAATTATTACAGTTAAAACAAATTTTAAACTTTAATTGTAAACGTATTAGTTAAAAAAAACAATACGTTATCCCGCTCATTACTAACAGTAACATACATAGTAGAAAATTATCTTCCAAAGAAAGGAAAATATTTAACTCTCCATTTTAAGTTCCGTAATCGGATAAAAAGTAGTCTATAAGTAGCCCCGGGCCACTAACTGCCTGCATACAAAATTTGGTGGTGATCTGTTTAGTAGTTTTTGTGTGAATCTTTAATACACAGACAGACAGACAGACAGACAGAAAAATAGACAGTCAGACAAAAATTCTAAAAACTAGTGGTTTGGCTTCAGTATCCTTCATTTAGTCCCATGGCTTCTGTTTTTTTCCAGGAAATATTAGAATTACAGACACGAATGTTCTACAGATTTATTCTATGTATAGATTTCAAACTACATACGTCCATGAGATTATTTGCCGCCTAGAAACGTTGTAGTGAGAGTCTTATCAATATTACTATGTCCGTTGGTTTCTGTTTTGTTTATATTATACATATACATATACAGCCCAGCCATTTTAGAATAGTTGGCGTTAACGCGTTAAAGTTAACGCGTTTTCGACTAATAATAACGATAAATAACATGTTAACATATAATATAATAAATAATTTTTCATGTGTAAAAGTATTATAATAATACAATGTAACTATCTAAACTACGTAAATTAAAAAGTGTTTAAAAATATAATTTTATGATACATTTTACTACTATTTATATAACAACATATTGTAACTTATGTTAAAATTAGGTATGATCCGATGTAATCGCAAACGATTCCTTATAGGTACTTTGAAATCTAAAACCAAGGTGTCGCAAATCGCTTGCGTTGCTGGGATTGCAGTGTATTTCGATCTGTCTGTTGTTATCATAATAAAAACGTTATACTTAGGTTGCTTTACATTGACTTCTTAGTGCTGTATATCATAATATGAAATGTTATTATTTAGGTATTTTCGGTTTTATATTGACTGAACATTCAAATCATGAACATGTTCTTTTAACTTATATGAATTATTATTTTCTAAGAAAATGTTGTGGTTTATGAGAATATTTACTTCGTTTAATCCGATTTTGTAACTCATTATATTATGTATACAATTAACTAATTTAAATGTTGTTGTTTATTATGAGCCTTAATCCCTGACTAACATTGATGTAACTAAATATTATACGAGACTATTTTGTAAAAGATGTGATTAAATTTATGGCTAAGTTACGGAATATACTACAAATTTTTATACGCCCCCCTCTTTTAACTAGTGTTTGCATAACAGTTCTCTTCGTAAGGGTTGTCTGCTTGTCTGGAAGAGATCACTTTCAGAGTGATAAGACCGCCTGTCGCACATATACTACTTTATATTTAGCTGTGGTTGTTATTTTTTATTTTGATGTACAATAAAGAATAAATAAATAAAATAAATACAAATATTAATAGTGTGTGGGTGTGAGAATAAGTTAAGAAAAATGACTGGAGGTTAGCATTAATTAACATTAACATTAATTTTATAATCTGTTCGGATTCGAATTGAGTGAACTGAGAATTTATCAAGAATTGTATAGGAATATTGTCTGTAATGAATTACATAAGCTGTAGTGTAAAGAAGATAATCAAGCGATATTGGTCATTGCCTTGATCATGTAGATCTATGTACGCGAGTCGTGTACCTAAAAGAAATGACATTAATTATTTAATGAGTAGCAAAATCCTATATATTAAAATATAATAAGAAGTAAAAAAATAAAATAGAATATTGAAAAGTCAAAAAAGTATAAAAATGGAAAGAGTATTAAATATTATTATCCGGACAGGACTACATATTATTAAGTGGTATTATGATAACATGATTTAGTGACTATAAATATCTAAGGAACTGAGTAAAAATTTACGTTTAGCAATAATAGACTGTGACACGTACGTCATACTAGTGCACATATTTAAATAAAATAGTTTTTTTGCGGATTTTATCGATATATTGTGCTCGAAACATCGAGAATATAAAATAAGTTAATGTACGAGATAAAATCCGTAAAAACTAGCTTTATTTAAATGTGTAGTGTTCGCGTAAATATAAGAAATCTTTGTGAACAGATGCTGTTTTTTTAAATAGAATTAGGGTGGCAAACAAGTATACAGTCCACCAGTGGGTAAGTGGATGCTGTGATCTTAAAAATCAAAATGCAGATACGTTGTCACTCCTGAGTTCTAAGATGGAATACCCCATTGAAAAGGGTCTCCGGTTCTCTACACTCACCATACGAAACACAGCTATTTCATCGTACTATTTCATGCTGGTGTTCTGTGAAAGCGTGGTTCTGTACGGAACTGATAAGCTCCAAATTTTAAGTCTATGAAATGTCATTAAATATATTTCATTTCATTTCAAAGTCGAAATTAACTTCATTTTGAAAATGTAGGTATTGGGTGCATTATTTTTGCAGAGGTGTAAAGCACCTGAATTACATTATTTAGGCCTGCGGCCGGCGGAACTGTATTCACGTTACGGTCACGCTTTGGCACGCAAACCAGCGCTATTATATCCCGTTCCAATGTCAGATACTAAATCAGGGCGTCCCTGATATTTCAAATGAAATTTGTTTCATGATTGTCGAAAAATGCGACATGTAAATAATGTGCAGTTGAGGGAACAAAATTTTCTGAATATATATCCTACAAGGAGTTTCAAGCCCTGCGTGCCATCCCCCCCCACAGGGAGGGCGGTGTGTATTAACAATTCGTCGAATCAAGTTGTTACCTGGTGCTGCAAAACACCTAAAAAGTTCGTGTGGCTGACGAAGCAGAAATAGTGACAGCCAAAAGATAATTCGAAATAAACAGCTCCGCTCATTCGGGCTCACCATTAGCGGTTTAAAAACTATAAATAATTTAGAAGCATTTGACTGAGCTATTTGACTTTCTAAGTTAAAAACCAACAGCGTCAGTGACATTGCTTGCGACAAGATACTTTGAAGGAGATTAAGTAATGCACATCTCATTGGACACAATTGTCATGAAGTCCTGGACGTCAATCTGAATGAGATTGGAATGGCTTCCCAGTATACCAGCATCAGAGCTTTTGTAAGTAAGCGGAGAATCAGTACTGGTTGCGCGGAAAAATAATCGGGTACTCTCATATATTTTGTTCTGGGCCAGCCATCTTGTTTTGGGGTATCTAGACACTGCTCATACAGTCCACCTAGTAATATCTCGCACAATAAGTTCAAGGCCGACCTGGGAATCGGACCCAAGAACCCCTAGGCCTGTCGCTCAACCATTCTATTTCTTACGAGTCGGATTAAAATCAGGGCAATTGGCCCCACCAGGTACTAAATGTCCTTCAGGAGCTATTTAATTTTACCTTCCCTCTTGGCACTACGGCACAAGCGTGGAACATAAGCAAAAATGAAACAAAAAATTACAGCTGATTTCTCATTAAATTGTTTCCGAGACATTGCTGTTTCCTAGAGTCATTACGAATACTTAGTCTTGCACGCAGACTTTATTACTTCTGGTCTCCCAAATAAGCTGCTTTGAAACCTAGCACTATGCTCAGTTAAACCTACATAGTGTCTGCCAGCAGCATCGATCACTAATAAAAAAACATTAGTGATCGATGGCCAGCGGTTAGGTTTCCAACTGTTAAGTCGTCAAAATAGTATGTGTTCATGTCACACCTTGGGAACCTTAGTTGGGGAACGACGCTCAAAATTATTCAAGAATATGCCTGAAACAAAATTTGAAAGAAGATAATATGGTGCTTGTAGATTTAACATGACAAATATCATTGATATCTTCAAAAACTTTCGAAAGGGTATATTTTTTGTAAGTTACTTTCTGTTTAAATATTTAATTATTTTAATATGAGCACTATCACGTAAACAAGTTAGATCGCACGTAGTGTTTTCTGTGTTTCCTGTAAAATTTTACACTTATGTGCTTATTTACAAGGTACACAGAAATTATCCCACTAGGCAAGTCCAACTTTGACCAAGTGCTCAACGGACGATTCGAACTTGGACTGGGTAGTCCAATAAACCTCAAAACAAGTGTACTACAACCGGTGTGTATTGCCAGCGTTGACCTATGTAACTTTACTTTCCTTTACTTTCGGACGCATTAAAGAGCTTTCAAAGTCGCGCAATGAGCTGGCCATAGCTCGAAGAATCGTGGAGAAGAAAGGTTCCCGAGTGGCAGCCTCCTAGTAAGCGAAGCAAGGTAGCCCCCCACTAAATGGAGGCCGTACGACTGAGTAAAACTTACAGGATGTTGATGTATTTTGGGTGCCCCAAGACCGTGACAGTCGTAAGGGAATTCCTACGTACAGAAGTAGACTCGTGATGGGTAGATGTGATGAGGAAATATTTATTCGTCGCCAGGGGTTCCGTGAAATTCATCTTGCCCAAAACAAATTTAGGCCATGTTTCACATGTCCCTGGTTCTTATGTACCTGGTTAAATGCGGTTTTTTAGTTTCGCAAAACTATCATAATGGCCTATACCAATACCTACGTACATAAATACATACACATTCTAAAATACATACAAGCATGCATACATGTATACAGGTCAAATTAAAAAAAATCGTGTCAAAAAGAACGCAATTCCGTTATTTTGTTTTTTATAACCTAATTAATATGTTGACAAATAAAAGTGTTTTCTATGATGAAAAGTAATTACACATGTCGAGTCTCGAACCCCCTGGGTCGCTGCGCTAAAAAACGTACACGCTGCGTACTTCGCCACTGCGGCTTTCATAAGATCGAATTTTTGGAATTCGATTTGACATTTTTTGGTATATTTTCGGCCATTGCTGCAAAATTTCCGTTAATTATGAGAGTATACACAAGTAACTCTTATACATACTTAATACTTAAGGGTTAATTACATTCTTCATATGGACTTAGCCAATAAAAAGTATTAAACTGCACAAGAAACATCTCTTTTAAAAAAGTAATGTAAAATTAATAATTATGATTTAATTTATTAATTGTAGAAATTTTTACGTGGAATAAGAAGTGACAAACGGTCACATATTCTACCCGATGGTGAGTAAATGCCAAAAGAAAAAACGTCGATGTGTCACCAGTTATCATTACAAATCGAAATATTAATTTTATTAATCAAACCATTACAATATTAAATAATATGTACAAGACATAGAATACTATAATACACAATAGAATTAGAATGGCTGTCAACGTTATTTTGTACGAGATTTGGCGTCGCCGGGAGCACACATACAAGCAATTACGTCGTATTATCACTGTTACAAACCCGATTCGCGGTGTTGACAGACAGATTTTAATACATATTTATTTGTAAATGGCGTGCAATTTGGCATTTTCTAAATAATTTGCATGCAAATTTTGGATATGTGTGAATTAACGTATTAGTGACATTTTAGTGGCTACACGGGCTCCACCCACTCCCCCGTTCTATTATGTATTCTATGGTACAAGAGTACGAAATTGCAAAAAAAGGAAAGTTTATTTATTTTTATTTCTTTATAATTTTATAGGGTCACTTTGCAAAGGTATGTGTGGGTACAAATACTAATGGAAAATATTAACTTACTTTAGTGCGGCACCGGTACTGTCCCCAAGCCTGCAACTCGCAGTAATGCACTTGGAACGCCAGCAGCTTCATCCGCTGGTCAGCATCGTTCTCCCCATACTCCCATCTGAGACGAACCTCGCGGAAATCCGGGTCTCCGATTAGATGCAGCACCTCTGCGAATTTACCACGCCCTACATTAGCTAAATAGCGCCATTGTCACGCTTTAACACTTCGTTTTCTAAAGCAATTTATGTAATTGGTTTCCTTAGTCCCCGAGACGGTTGGATGCGTCAGCTAAGCAACGATCCACTTGTAATAAATAACCCGACCCAATCACTTGCTCACTGGGCCACTCTCTAATAATGAGGTACACATGGCAAGATACAGTTTTCTGATTGCAGTTTAGTTAAGCGCTAGGTACCTAATTCTACGACTCGATCAGGAAGTTGGAAGAAATTATTTATTACAATTTTGTGAACTCAATGTTAATGATTAATTTTCGTTATCGTTGTGTATAGCAAAAGCGGTCAGAAAAAATAAAGAATTGTCATCATTATAACCATTATATCCCTTCCCAAATCCATTGCTGCACAAAGCACGATCCTGTACTATTCATCCATCGACTTCCTGCATCTTTTACTAGGTCATCACTCCATTTTTTATAGCATTGGGTGACAAACGAGCACAGAGTCCACCTGATGGTAAATGGATACTGGCCCCCATATTTGTCCACACACATCATCATCATCATCATCATCATCATTACAGCCCTTCACAAGTCCACTGCTGAACATAGGCCTCCCCCAAGTAATGCCACAAAGCACGGTCCTGAGCCACCTGCATCCATCGACTTCCTGCATTGTGACATGGACATTGAACATAATCTTTGTTTTGTCCATGTTCATCTTAAGACCTATCCGTTGGGAGACACCATTGAGGTCATTGAGCATAGTGCTAAGGTCCTCCAGCGATTCTGCCATAAGGACTATATCGTCGGCAAATCGAAGGTGAGTGATATACTCGCCATTGATGTTGATACCGTATCCTTTCCAGTCCAGTAGCTTGAAAACGTCTTCCAACGCAGCGGTGAATAGTTTCGGGGACATAACATCACCCTGTCTAACACCTTTCGGCAGTTGGATAGGTTTCGAACTCTGGTTCTGTACTCGGATAGCCGTCGTAGCCCTACTGTACAAACACTTTAGCACCTCGATATACCGAGAGTCAACTTGGCACCGCTGAAGGCACTGTAGCACCGCCCAAATATTCGACGGAATCAAAGGCTTTCTCATAGTCCACATACGCCAGGCAAAGTGGCAGATTGTACTCTTCGGTCTTCTGTAAAATCTGCCGCAGGGTATGTATGTGGTCTATGGTACTGAAGCCTTTTCGGAAACCAGCTTGTTCGGGAGGCTGGAAGTCGTCGAGTCTGTGTGCGAGACGATTCGTAATGACTCTCGAAAACAGCACGTAGACGCGGCTCAGAAGGGAAATCGGTCTGTAGTTGTTCAAGAGAGCGTTGTCGCCTTTCTTAAAGAACAAGACCACCGCACTTCTGCTCCACGCCTCCGGAGTAGTGCCACCATGGAGGACGGAATTGAAGAGCTTCTGAAGGATTTCAAGTACCGGTGTTCCACCCGCTTTCAGAAGCTCCGCTGTAATTCCATCCTCGCCTGGGGCCCTACCGTTTTTAAGGTGCTGGAGAGCCATTCTAATCTCGCTCAGACTGACGTCCGGGATATCATCGGAATAGTGTCGGGTAAGACTTGCTCTTGTATCGTTACTCACACTTGCGTGTGGCTCCAACGATGATGTGTACAGCTGCCCATAGAACATCTCAATCTCACTCAAAAGCTCAGGTGTCCCGGAAACGATGCTGCCTCACTCAGTCTTCAGCTTTGACAGTTGGCTCTTTCTGGCAGACAGATCTCTGGCAAAGACTTTGGAGCCCTGGAGATCTGTCTGTTCAGTTGCCTGTATGCTGTCAAATCTGTTGACGATTGCAGCCTCATCTCCCGTCTAACAGCCATGAGATTAAGAGTGTGATCGGAGAGTTTTGTGTTCTTCTGCGGCGGGTTTTGCAGAACTTAGCTCCGACCGCATGGACAGTTTCCACGAGCTTGTCATTCATATCGTCCACTGCATTGCAATCTTCTAGGCACTGAAAGCGGTTACGTAACTCGAGCTGAAAAGTATTGGGATTCTGGATCAGAGCTCGAGAGGGACGGAGCGTTGACTTCATTAGACGAGACCTCTCCAACTTAACGTTTAGGTTCGGTGTGCCTCTAACCATTCGGTGATCGCTGCCGGTTTTCACCCTTGCGATCACTGAGACATCACTGAACAGTTGGCGTCTGGTCGTCATAATGAAGTCAATCTCATTTTTTGTCGAACCGTCGGGGCTCGACCAGGTCCACTTCCTGTGGGGCCTCTTCTGGAAGAAAGAGTTCATCATAAAGAGTCCCTCTTTCTCCATAAAGTCAGCCAGCTGCTGGCCCCTACGGTTCCGTTGCCCTACTCCAAATTTCCCTAACTTCAGCTCACGCTCTTGTGCCTAGTTTTGCGTTGAAGTCTCCCATCAACACCGTGTAGTGGGTTTTGGAGGAATGCATGGCTCTAGAAATATCCTCATACATTTCCTCCACCTCCTCATCGGGATGTGCCGAGGTTGGTGCGTAGACCTGTATGACTTTCAGCGAATACCGTTTGGTGATTCTGAGTATCAGGTACGCGACCCTCGTCGACACACTCCCAATCTTTACAACGTTGTTGACGAGAGACTTGTGGATAAATCCGACACCTCCTTGGGACAGATGGTCGCCCTCCCGGTGATAGAACAAGTTGCCGGACTCGAGGATTACCGTGTCCTCCCCCTCTCTTCGGGCCTCAGATAATCCAATAATATGCCAGCGCAACTTGTCTACCTCTTCTTCCAGCTCCAGTATCTTCTCGTCAGTCCTCAGGGTGCGTGCGTTATACGTTGCCAGGTCGAGTCGTCGTAGGTGGCAACCGAACCTCCACCGGAGATTCTTAGCACCCCCTGCCCCGCCGTTACCATGGTCGCCACCGTAGCCAGGAATAGCGGGGCCGCCGGGGACTGGGGGCCGTTTATTTGTGTCGTTGCTCATGGGGGGGATATTTGCCATAGTTGCCACGCTTGGCGAGCGGGTTGGCAACCGCAGTTTTTTATTTATATTATTGTTGTTATTAGGAAGATGCTGCTGCCCATCTCCTTTCTGTGTCCCTCTGTCGCCTCTTACGACACCCACGGGAAGATATGGGGTAGTGGATATTCTCAACCGCCACTACACGGCACACACATTTATCCTCAATTAAGGATCGAAATGCAAATGCGTTGTCACCCCTGAGAACTAAGATGGAATGCCTCGATTCTAGTAAAAAGGGTCTCCAATTCTCTACACTCACCATACGAAAAACAGCAGTACCCGGTCGAGCCCACCCATTCGTGCTACAATAATAATATCGCTGCGGCGTGGCTCTACCACGTCAAGAATCTAGTCCCGGGGGGGGGGGGGCTTAAACTACGATTGCCTTTAGAGAATCTATCTCCCACATTGGTTATTGATATTGTTAAAGAATAATAATCGTATATAATTAATTTTTTTAACTAGGCGATCTTTAATGTCCCATTACAGTATTGTTTAGTCCTATATAAACAACCAAAAATAATGTCCTCCAGACTGAATTTCGGTCTCGGCGGTCAGTCTCAACGGAGACTAGTCATCTGCGCCTAACAGGAAGAATTAAATGCAATGCATGAGTATGTGTGCGAGCACAGGTGCGCTTTTCTATTATCACGCTCTCATAGATCATAGTCCGATGGGACGGCAGTAGTTAGTTAGTACCAGTTCTGGTTCACTGATTCAGAAGTGGTACAACGTTCGTCGAGACTCACGATCCTAAAAAAAAAGTAATGGTTTTGGTATGCTCTGATCACGAATCTGTGGTCCGCTTTTGCGTAGAATGCACGGTTCCGGAGATGTGCAGATCAATTAACTCTTAGGGGCCTCCACCGTCATTAGCGTCCCATTGTTATTTATCTATTGTTCATTGAATACCGTTCATTGTCTATTCGTGCGTCGGATTATCAGTGCTATTATATTATACTCCTTTGTTCTAACTGCAACGGTAATCTGAATCATCAATAAAATACATTACCTAATTTTGTTACAATTTTTATTTACGAAATACAAAATCTTATTACTTATTATCTATAAAATAGGAGCGAAACATCTCATCCACTAAAATATCGTTGTACAATGTGTTCCCTGTAAATATACTCGTAAAACTATGCATTGAACATCCCTGAAACTTATATAGCAAATACATTAAGCAATATTCGCCACAAACTGAAGTCCACTCATTCTGAATCCTATCAACATTCCAGTTCCATCTTTTACAATTCCTTTTTGAAAACTCTAGATGATATCGTACAGGTGCTCGTCCGTATGAATCAAAATATTGATTGACGTCATTCGTATCGATATATAAAGCTACTCAATGTGACCCTGGTTTATCATCTGTATCCAAATTGCATATTATATACGTTGGCACGTGGGTGTACATGGGCAGTCTATTTGGCAGCATAAACATTATTTTCTAGACTGAAGTGAATCTTTTTCAGATGTTGTTGTACATCTAGTGTATCCATGATATTACTGCTATTAGTAGATTATTACAGTACAATCTACTCAATGACTAACATAGGAATGATCAATTATAGTGATTTCTAAATATTAAATTGCATTATTTTGTGTTGTACAAAACGTATTTGAGTCATCAATACAAAGAACAAGACGCGACACGAAGTAATGTTGAGATAAGCAACAAAATGTGAGAAAAGCTTGTTGACGCATAAAGTTACTATCAGTTCCACTGCAGAAATTCTTTAGATTAGAATTACTAATTACTGGTACTATATAAGACCAAGCAAGTGCAGTCATGGAGTTAGTGTATGGTCGTTTGACCGCAGTGGATCTATCAATACTACATTTGTGTTACTTCAACGCATCAGAGGCCATGGGTGTAAGTGTTTATTCTATTGACAAAGTTACTTTTCTTTCTGTTATTTTCTTACGTGTGTATGATTTAATGTTAACAAATTATATTTAAATATTGGGTGTGTATTATATTAAGCCGTGATAGCTCAGAT